CCGTAAAAGGACCTGCCTGCCTTCTCTGTTGATTTCCCGGCCATTTTTCCTGTCCGGTCTGAGGTATCCCACCTTGTCTACCCTGATTAGGGACTCCATCCCTCTGCACATCTGGGTTTCCTTTGTTTTTCTTCCAAGGTTGATGTCCTTGAAATCTGCCCCGATCATTGGACTTGGCACCACTGCTGCTTCCTTTCTCCACTGTCTGGTAGTCTCGGTTAGTCCGTTTATCTCCCTTGGACTTCCGGTAATCACTCCTCATCTGGCAGTGCTGTAAGGCGGCATTAACCACCTGGATATAAGTAGTATATGCAGGACTACCTATGATCACCACTTTAATCGGCCATATCAACCCTTTCACAAAGCGGTCTCGCTTCTTTTCTTCCGTATTGACCTCCTCTGGTGCAAATAATGACAAATTTATGAACTTCTGTTCATACTCAGCCACAGTCATATCTTCCTGTTGCAGATCCAGAAATTCGGTCTTCATCGCTGATCTTACTGACATAGGAAAATACTTGCCGTCAAAGCGAGTCTGAAATTCAGCATAAGTCAATCTGGTCCTCTCTTCGACAGTAGTAATAGACTCCCACCACTGCAATGCATTGCCTATCAGCATAAACGTAGCCAGCATCTGTTTCTGCACTTCGGTACAGATTACCATCCGAAGATGACGCTCGTTCTCCTGTTTCCACTGATATGCTAACAAGACATCTGTGGACCCTGCAAATGTTGGTGGATTTCCCCGGATGAACGAGTGACGAACTTTGTCCCATGACATTGGCTGTGCCACTGGTTCAGGAACAGGTACTATCGGAGGAGGTTGCTGGTTTCGTAGAGCAGATGCTACTCCTGCTGCTACAGCTCGTGCAATGATATCAGCAACTTGAGGAGAAAATTCCTGATTCTCATTTTGAGTTGGGGAAATACTGCGATGACGGTTCGCATTCCTTGTCCCACGCCGAGACATCCTTCTTTTAAATTCAGAAAAATCTAACGTCAGTACATTATAATGGACCGACTAAAAGAATACAAAGAACCCTAATACTTAGGCTCTAATTATCAGAATACACAACGCGGAAGTATAGTAATCACAGATCCCTAAGACACTCGAACCTGGAATGCTCTGATACCAACTGTAACACCCCCAACATTTTCCACGCATAAGTTGATCAGGCTTATACACGAAAAACGAGGATATCAAAAACAATTGGCAATATACAAGCATGGAATACAAAATGATGATAATAAAAGAATTTAGACAGGAAATGAACCCTAAATAATACAACATCCATTCATCCTTTATTTAATACCGTACTTCATTACAACTTGGAAATCCTATGTCAAGGATCCCTAAATATAACCCTGAGAGTTCAACGTCAAAAGTAAATAAAAACTGAAACTGAAGTATTACATAAAACTTCTACCCTGCACTGGATCGTAAGAGTAGATGAGTTCGGATGATGGTCCCACACTGCTAACCTCAGCCTTGAAACGGATACTGACCGTATCCTGAAATAACAACAATGGTGGGTCAACCCCACGAGCAAGTCCTCTCGACTATGACCCAAATCAGAGAATCAAATAAATTAATCATTATGAATCGGATGAGTACTATATCTGTATACATCCTACGGGAACTATCCGATGTATAACATGACCTCAACCAGAATAGACGGTGATCACTTGGACTCACACTAGGTGGTCAAGTGTCGCCTTTCCCTACCCGGGAAATCAGCTATTATACATGGTGCACGGTACTGACAACACAGACTATAACGAACTACACAGTGATAACACCTCGCAAAGTACTCATGAATATACTGAGCATATCAATTAGGCAACACATGCCAACAATATTAATAAATATACCGAGAATGTCAATTAGGCAACACATGCCAATAATATTAAACCACATACCCCGACAGCCACACATCTGTCTATCGCAACGAATGCATAAGGTATAAATGAGTCTAAACTTATTAGCCAGCTCATATGGTTCTATATGGCAACACATCCATATAATATAAATGCGACATAATTAAACAGTCCATTTATTTCCTAAAATGCACACAGCATAATGATCATGGTTTATATATCAATTAACGGTATAAACATCCCATAAGATATCATGGATAATTTATCTGACTACAACCATGGCCTTACTTAATTTATCAGTAATGGTTGATACCATTTAATAAGATAATAACACTATTTATATTTAACAATGTCGTTAAATAAATCACATTAGTATCTGTACTGTGAACGAGCCAATAAATGCTTAGAAAAGATTAATCGGCCATAAGAATAAGTAACGGGTATTAAAATAATAATTACGTGGCCCGTTAAACCCGTAAATACCAACTCAGTACCTAAAAATCCAAGTTTAAGATTCTGGAATTTACAAAACAGGCCCTAGGGGTATTCTGGTAATTTCCAGCAGCTGTAGGGACCCCACACGCGCCCTCACGCGCCTCCCAGAGCCTCCCCACGCGCAGCCCAACCTTCCCCACTCTCCCACGCGCCTCCACGCGCGTCTGGCATCAGCCACGCGCCCGCACGCGCTCCCACGCGCGTCTGGAGCGTTCCACGCGCGCGCACGCGCTGCCACGCGCGCACTAAGGGTACCTTGCTGACGCGGCGTGTGCTGGTTGGTCGGTTGCATCATCCTACTATGGGTGCGCTACACTGAATCAGCTCACCCTCTCATCACTCAATCCTGTGCTTATGGATCCGGGTGTACCGCGGTAACATGGACCGCGATGCACCGGATCAATCAGGCTCTACTAATGGCCAGGATGCGCGCGCGCACTAACCTACCATGCGCCGCATCACACCGGATCACTCCGGTCACCTTCTTCACTGCCGGTGGCCGGAATCCTTGCCGGAGGCTCGCCGGAAATTGCAGAAAAGCCCCGGAAAATTCCTAAAAATTCTAAAAAAAATCCCAAAGGCCATAATAATTATTTTTAGCTATATTTTGATTACATAGGCCATAAAATAATTGTTGACCACCTTTGATAATTAAAATTCCTTTCTTTAATAAATAAAAAATTTTAATTTAATAATTTCCTAGCATGATCTCTAAGCTCTATAATTATTTAAATAATCTAAACAATTAATTTATGGATTCAAAGGGGAAAAGTAGATAATAACTTGCCTTTTTGGATTTAAAATAAATCCGCCGGTTGCGCGTAGTCGGGTAAAATCGCCTACACCGGTCCAAGCTTCTTTCTCTTTCTCTTTTCCTTTCACTCTTATAAAATAGCTCACTAGAATGTTTAAGCTTTCTAACTTAAGTAAGTTGCCTTTAGAGTAAGTTGGCTACTAATATATATATACAAACTTATATAATATATATAATACAAATATCTAATTTATATTAACTTCTCACCCATTTCTCATATCCCTACCTATAACATTTAAGCCAAGCAAGCCAAGTCAAGCAAGATGTCCTAAGGTAAATCCTATCCTAAGATTTAATTTTTCATCATTACATTGATTTAATACTAATATTATTATTACTAATGTTATTATTAATAAAACTTTTATTATTATTATTATTTTATTATTATTATTAAACTAATATAATTATTATTATTGTTATTACAAAATAATACATTATAACATCATAATACTTTATAACACAAATATAATACTTTAATTAACTAATATTGCTTAATTAAATATACTCAACAAATAAAATTAATTATAATAATACATGCACAATTAGATGAATAAATTTACTATTTTAACATACACAATTAATTTACATGCACCATTAAATGAACTTAATATAATAATGTAGTATGCACAAATAAATAAAATTAATTAACCTAACACAAAATTAATTTAAATACATTCTTTAAAATTACGGGGTATTACAGGTTCCACATATATTCTTTCAGATTGGTCAGTGTCTGCCTCTTTTCATCCCCCCAGGACTGCTTTCTGTGACCTCTGATTGTATCAAAGAATGGTTTACACCAATCAGATAACTTGGAAATAAATCAACTCAATGTTGCTATGCGTCCGGTAAGAGCCTGGACTTACTTAATAGTACATGGTTCTGCATTTTTAAGCAGAGCTTCCACTTGGGTTGGGCTGACCTCAATCCATCTGTTGTTGACCACGTGGCCAAGGAACTGCCCTGATCCCATGCCGAACAAGTACTTTGTTGGATTTAATCTCATTCCATACCTTCTTAATACATTGAACACTTCTTGCAAATGCTTCAAATGATGACCCTTCTGCTTGCTCTTTATCACCATATCGTCGATGTAAGCCTCCACTGTTTTGCTCATCTGATCCTTATAAATTTTGCTAACTAATCTTTGGTACATAGCTCCAGCATTTTTCAATCCAAACGACATGACCTTATAACAATAGATCCCTCGTTCGGTGATAAAAGAGGTATTTTCTTCATCATTCGGATCCATAGGAATTTGATTATAGCCTGAATAAGCATAAAAAAAAAGTTAACCGCTCATACCCTGTTGTAGCGTCCACCATTTGATCAATCTTCAGAAGTGGAAAGCTATCATTCGGGCAGGCCTTATTCAGATTAGTGAAGTCAATACAAACTCTCCATTTTTCGTTCTTCTTCTGCACTACAACCACATTTGACAACCAGCTTGGGTATTGTACTTCTCGAATGAACCCAGCTTCCAATAATCGGTTCACCTCCTCAGCAATGATCTAGTTGCGTTCCGGGGCGAACCTCCTCTGCTTCTGCCTCACAGGTTCGGATGAACATTAAGGGAATGACAAGAGACAGAAGGGTCGATCCCTGGCATGTCCGAATGGTTCCAAGCGAACACATCTGCATTTTGAGAAAGAAAATCAATTAACTGGCGTTTTTCCTCATTAGCGAGTCGCGATCCTACTTTTGTGGTTCGGTCTGGTCTCAAATGATCATTTTGAACTTCAACCAGAGGCTTTTTGGTCAGCACTGTGGGCTCCTCCTCCCTGCTAATGCCGAGGGGAGGTTCCTGTAATTGCTAATGTGGATCAGCAGATCGGATGGGAGCATTTCCCTTCCTTGCGGCTTTCAGAGTCACTGAGTAGCATTCCTTTGCTGCAACCTGATCCCCATGGATATCAATCACCTTGCTCCCGTCTGGGATTAGGCACCTCATCACTTGGTGTAGGGTTGAGGGGACTCCCTGTACCGTATGGATCCATCCTCTTCCCATCAACAAATTGTAGGAGGGATGGATTTCCACCACCACAAAACTTTCGACTAAGTCCCTCTCAGCTGCTCGGACCACTAATTCAACTGTGCCGATCGGTTCGACTCGTTTGCCATCAAACCCCAACAACGGATTTCTAGTAGACTTGAGCTCCTCTGGCTTAATTTCAAGCCGATCAAAAGTGACTATAGGCATGATATTCACACTGCTACCCGGATCGATGAGCACTTTTCGTACTAAGCATTCTGCCACTGTCAAACTGACAACCAAGGGATCCTCATGTGGAATCTGAACTGGCATCAGTTCTGTCTTATCGAACCTTATCTGCACGACAGAGCTCTGTTGGTGCAGGGTGTTGACACTGCCTACTCGCCTCTTCATTTGCACTTAGCGGAGGCGTGTACGGAGCAATTCCTCGGATTCTGCGGTCTGCTCGGGTCGGCCATGGATTGCGTTGATAATCCGTACTGGCTGACCGTTATGGTGGTTCGGTTTTTGGTTTCTCTTGACCTGCTCAGCTAGACAATTTTGCTCTTGCGCCAGCCCCTGAACATACCCTGTAAACTCGCCTCTGGCGATCAGCATTTCCACTTGCCTCCTCAGATTCCTGCATTCGTTAGTTTGATGACCAAAATCACTATGAAAAGCACAATGTTTAGATTGATCCCTCTGCTCGAGAGGTTGTCTGATTGGTAAGGGAGGACGAAACATATCTTTGTTTTCTTGGTAGAGCTTCACCAATGTAACATTGAGTGGGGTAATCAGTTCATCCTCTCTGGGCCTTTTCTCTGCCTTCCAGGAGGTCTGACGCTGCGGCGGGGGTTGTTTCTGCTGAATCTTGGCTTTGGACTTCTCCTCTGTAAAGATGATAGATGTCTTCCTAGCATTAGCTGCTTCTTCCTCTTCCAGGCGTACGAAACCATCTGCTCTCTCATTCAGCTCGTCCATTGTCTTCGGCGTGTTCACCACCAGGCTGGTATGGAATGATGTCCCTCGGGTCATAGCTAACTTGAATGCCTGAACTGCTGTGGAAGGATGGCACTCTATCACCATGCTCTTGGGTAAGTTAAACCTGGTAAGAAAAGCTTGGAGACGCTCATCATCATGCTGCTTCATGGTGAACAAGCTAGAGATATCTTTTGTCGGGGCGCTTATTCCTATAGTATTGGCTTATAAACCGATCACACAAGCTACGGAAGCTGTCCACTGAGCCCCTCGGCAGGTTCTTAAACCAGTTGAGCGCCGATCCAGCTAAGCTTGTAGGAAAACATTTGCACATCAAGGGATCATTCTCTGTGTTCAGTGCCATCTTCAACTGAATGTGATATACATGATCAATCGGATCGGTCGTTCCGTCGAACAGAATGAAGACAAGCATGGAGAACTTCCTCGGGCTTGGAGCATTCAAGATCTCGTCAGTAAACGGCGAATCAACCGTTCGTGCTGCCGAACGGAGGGCCTCATTCTCTCTTTCAAACCTTGTGACAATTCTTTGATTTGTAGATCTTTTTTCTGAACTGCTATAATCATATGTGGCCATTGAAGGCCGATAAGGTGGATCGAACGACCTTTCCTCAATGACCTCTTTCTGCCACGGCGAGTTAATCTTGTGATAATCAAATTCCATATCCTGTTCGCGGTTGTGCCTTTCCTGATGTGGATTGAAAGCTGTATTTTCGTCTCGCTTGATATGCGCACTATGAGGATCGAGATGTACAGATCCTTCTCGATCCTCAACTCGACGAGCGTTTGGCGGTAAATTCTCCAGCCTCACCTTCTCGCGGTGGAGATTGACTTGGTTATCTCTTTCTTGCTCACCTTGATGTACGTCATCAAGTCGCACGCCTCTTTCACCCATAGGAGGCGGTCGCGGCGCAACCGGAACCTCGACGTTCCACTCCAGCTTTCAACTCTGCATTTTCTTTTCTCAGTGCCTCGATCATGTTCATCAGTTCATCAAGCTTCATTCGCTGGTTATTCTCCACCAGATTCGAGCTCTCTTCTCCGACCATCATTCCGGATCGTAGCAAAGTCATCAACTGCAAATTTCTGATCAGATTTGAGTTTTGCCTATGCCGACGTTCCAGATCTGGATTCTAGCGCAATTAAATTCTGATCGTGATTAACCAGATCTGAATTGCTCCGGCGACGATCTTACCAAATTCAGCAATTTCAGCGACTCTCGACCACACAACTCTCCAAAACAAGCGCAAATCAGAACTGCGTAGATCGAACGCCAATTTCTCCGGTCACAATTTCACCGATCTTAATTTCGCCTTCAATGATCAGGCTTCGTATTCAAGCGCTATACTACTAGATCAAATCAATCTGAGTGAATCATCAATGAATTCTCATCGTTCCCACAGACGGCGCCATTGAAGATGCATGAATTTTCTCTTTCTAAATTGACATAATTTCATTACACTTCAAACATTTTGATCCCCCATTTCTCCTTTCTCTTTTCTATTTCTAGCCCATTTTCATTATTCTAGAGCATTCTTAACTAACTTCCGCCGCTGGGCCTATCCTCCAAGTTCAACGGTTATGGGCCTGAATCCTCTTTGAAGGCCTTTTACAACAATCCACTACACCCGGTCTGCTTTGTGGACGTTAAGTTTGGGCCCAGGTTAATTACCAGGCCCAAACTTCATTATGCGAGTTGGATCTGGTCCGAGCCGTCTTTGGCATCCTCACCCCACTAAGCATTACTTGAACTTTCACATTTTAATTATAACAAGTTTTAAACCTTGAAAAAAAAAAAAAAACCAAAATTTACTTGTTCAAACAATATTGATTTCCTTCTTTTCAGTTTGAGCACTGATTTTCGTTATATTTATCTGGAGTCATGGTCCCTTGCTACAATCAAATAAAGGGTTAGCCTTCTTATTTTAAGGCCCCACCATCACCTTAATAATTTGTGTGAGTTGCCCAATGTGAAATGAGGGTGTAAGTTTGTATTAAAAATAATTTAGATGAGTGAATACTTTTTATTTGCTCATTTATCTAATTTTTATTTATTTTAATTTTATCAAAATAAAGTGCAATTAAAGTAAATAAAGTTTTAGAGATTACACCAAATTTTTGTACGTAAAAACCCTAGTTGGAAGCAATCCGACTAACTAGGATGAAAATCACATACACTTTCGCATCCTTGAGCGAAACATCTACTATATTTGAAGTAATGTACAATCGACCTTGACTCAAGCTCACACCATATCGTTCTACCAAAAATCAATGGCTGACAATCTCTGACTTTGCAATTCCCCCATCCAACAACTCTCGACCTCAGACTTACTCTTGATCTCTATAGAAGAATCATTGGAAGATTAACCAACACTACGAATGTCTTGATCCATTCAAAGTATGATCTCTCCATCCTTTTTTTAAAATCAGAATTTGATAAAGATAAATAGAAATCTTGATTTTTTGAAAGTAATAGATTGAATCTTCAATAAGCTTGAAATCCTATCAAATTAAGAAAAACATCTTAAATCACTCGTGTGTATAGTATGTAAGTTCTCAAGAGAAAAATAAAATATTAGAAAAATTCTCACAAATTTGGCTGTCAAAATATGCTGAAAATTGTATACAAAAGCCATAAAAACATAAGTGAGAAAACATGTTTAAATAGATTTTTGAAGGCCTAATTGTACTCGGAAAATAAGTAAATTTTGTTCATGGTATGAATTGCAAAAATCTAGCCAAAAAGATAAAACCAAAACTGACTAGGATTCAATTTTCGTTTTTGGTCTGCAATAGCACAACCGGTCGCATGAAGCACGACTGGTTCTGCTTGACCAGCGAGTTTTGTTTAAAAGATGTTTTTGAAAATTTAATTGCGCAACTAGTTGCGTTGAGCGCAATCTGCACAAGCAGTAAGTAACGAATGAAAAATGAATTTGAGAATTATAGAGCGTGACGGGTTACACACACACACACCCACCTCCCTAATATATTTTTCTTATAGAATCGGAGTACACACACACACACACACACACACACACCTCCCTAATATATTTTTCTTATAGAATCAGAGTGCATCAATGTATAGACATGATCTATCTTCAATTTCGCATCCAATCTTCGACTCTTAAAAATCAAATTGAAAATCATAACTCGATCGAACTTATTTTGACATTAAAAAATTTCAATTATAAATTAATATCTCACAATTTGTAACCGTTACTCTTTCATTCGAAATAAATATCACGAAAAATTGGTACTCTTTCATTCGATATCACGAAAAAATTGGTGATGTTTAGGGATTCCATGCGTACTCTAACCTCACATAATTGCATACCACTAAAACCAATTGACCATACGAAAGAAGAAGAGGAAGAGAAGTATTGGATTGTGCAACCACAAATACCAGTGTATTTCTTGCTAGCAATAAGTAGACGTGACAACACCCAACTTGAATGCTTGATTGTACTATTCATAAATTATTAGTGACAACGACCTCTTTGAACTGATCTCAACAATCATCTGCAGGGCTAGATATGCTTTTTAATAATTCGTACTTAACGGTCAACTGGTCTTTTGTAAAATAGATATACAAGATAATTCAATTCTTATTATATATCTCACAACCCTAAGACCATTTCAACACCTAATTTGGTCGTTGTAAACTTGTAAATCCTTATTGTAACACATGCAACACAATCAAACACTAACATAAATTACTACTCTTAGGACCAGTTTGGTAATGCTGTTTTCATGTCTTTTAAAAACGAAAGCACTGATTCTTCCGTGCAAGTCATGAAAAACAGAGTCACTACAATATAACTTAAAATAAAAATACGTTCCTGCAGCGCCATATTGGTGCTTTCAAAAAATATAAACAAGTTAGCGGTTTTTTTAAAATAAAAAATAAAAATAAAAATCAATTCGGAAAGCAAAATCTGTTTACGAAACACGATTTTAACTGCCAATTTTCATTTTCATATTTTGAAAATGTCAGCATTACTAAACAGGACCCTATTGAATACTCTTTTTGTCTTTAAATAAGTGTCTTTCTTTTTCTTTTTTGTATGTCATTTTATTTATAAAAAAAAAAAAAAATCAATAAAAATTTGTAATTTTTCCATATAATATATCCTCAACCTTTGGGAGCTTTGTTTGATTGGTGATATATCTTTAATTGCTGAAAGGGAATATTGGAATTTCAAAAGAAGACAGTACTACTAAATGCATGTTTATATATATATATATATATATATATATATATATATTTATTTATTTAAAAAAAGGTCATTTACTTTGAGATTGACAAGGTTCTCTGTTATCACTTTTGCCATTTAATTTAGAATGGAGGATGTTCTCTTCTGTCAATTCTGATCTTATTTTTTTATTTAATAAAAATTCATAACCATTTATGGTCTTATAAAATAAAATAAAATAAAATAATCGAGAAAAAAAAACGTATCTATTTTTGCATCTAATCTAGAAAAGTGGTTCAGTTCCAGGCCTTGAAAGCTAGGTGAAAGTCAGCCACATCTGTAAGTAGAGCTAAAATGTGCGCATGCCACCATCACAGCTTGGTGTCACAACTTCTGTCACAGCACCAATCCCAACCGTAGATCAAAGAAATAAAACAGCTGTCACATCCTAATCCTACATCACCCTCACCATAAATATGATTTAACCCAAATAAACTTATCTCCACAATTTGGTCAGAAAGTCGTTCTTAACCACCTTTCAAAACACTAGCCACTTTTTGGTGTCCCTCTGGTCGTCTCTACCAACCTGGTCACCAAGAATCACAGATTGTCCATGACGGCCTAATCCCTACGGCCCAGTCACACATATCTCTCTGTGTGTGTGTGTATATATATATATATTATTTACACATACCAAATCTATGCATAGTGATAGTGTGAAAGAACAAGGAGGAGAAGCCATGGGAAGTGTTGAAACTCCGCTTCTGATACACAGCGCCAGTGAGGAAGAGGAGAAGAATGTTGGCTTCTTTAGACGGTTCGGCGGGGAGTCGAGGAAGCTGTGGAAGCTTGCTGGCCCTGCAATTTTCACCGCCATATGTCAGTACTCGCTCGGTGCACTCACTCAGACCTTTGCCGGCCTCGTCGGCGAGGTGGAGCTGGCCGCCGTCTCCGTCGAGAACTCCGTCATCGCCGGCCTTGCTTTTGGGGTCATGGTAAATTAGCTTAATTAGCATATTTATGTCCATTGTAATTTTCATGCATATATATATATATATATTGATAGGAATGTTCACCTGCTTGTATTTTTAACTGTCCAATCAAATCTAACGTGACCAAAAGAGCAGTGATCAATTCAGTACATGTTGATGTGAGCCATAAATGTACACGTATATATGTATAATTAATTTTTTGTAAAAGGTTAAAAAATTGGTGAATTTTTTTTTAGTTAGTGATCACACACTTGTCTTTTATAAAATTTGTATTTCTGACCTAAAGTAATAGGCTGATATCATTAGGCTACTGACCCGTTAGTGATTACAAGGTGATTAGTATGCCTAACAAATTAAATTTACTACTTTTAGGATATTTTTTTTAAGCACCTGCTATCTCTTGATATTAATTGAACGTACTAATTACGTGTTATACTGACTAATCCGACTGAGTCACACGGAACCAAACACAGGACCTTTCCTAGGCTGTGTGCCTACACGAAAATGGCACAGCTTAATCGCCAAAATTTTCGACTGGTAAATAAGCATTTCTCTGAACAGTATATGGATATGTGTGGTGCATTAATGATGATTTATTGAAGGGAGAGAAAAGTAATACTCCATAGATCTAATATTTGAGATCATTAGTACAAAAGTTATTTTTTATTTTTATTTTTTTTAATCAAAATTATAACCTGCTTTCTAAGTATGAATTTTTTACTAATCATTGCTCGTGTGTGTCTATATATATATATATATATATATATATATATATAAGTTGCTAGATAATGGAAAGCTATTTATTACTAATTTTTTCGAGTGTCCATGCCTTATGCTAGGTTGTCTTTTGGTTTTTTATGGTAACACAAAATTTAAAATTGTCAAAATGTTGTTAGTCACTATTTTCAAAGCAAATTATATTATTCCCTCCGATCCAAAATATGAATTACAATTCTGAAAATGTCTACCTATTTTGAAATGGAAGGAGTGTTTTAGGAGGGAGGCGTACGATAAAAAAATATAAAAATATAAAAAAAATAAAAAAATAAATAATGATGTGTGTTTGTTTAATGTTAATTTAATTAACGTGGTGATGATGTGCAGTTGGGAATGGGGAGTGCATTGGAGACGCTGTGTGGGCAAGCATTCGGTGCGGGGGAGATCAGAATGTTGGGTGTGTACATGCAGAGATCATGGGTCATCTTGTTGACCACTGCTTGTATTTTGGTTCCCGTCTATGTCTTCTCTCCTCCCATCCTCGAGGTCATTGGAGAGACCACTCAAATCTCCGAAGCTGCCGGTCAGTACCAAATTTCTCCTTCCTTATTAGATTAGGGCCATTAAATATACTGAAATAATGTTTAGGTCCACAAATATGACGGATTTGTTAGGTTGACGGCTTTAAAATTCGTTGCAGGCAAGTGGGATCACATCAACCCAACAAATCCATCAATTTTGTGAGCCTAAATATTATGCTTCTTAAATAATACAAGGTAGAACGTGACACTCCAAATATTTTGAAAGTAAGGGTGGAACCTCCGTAGACCTACCCTAATAATTTGAGTTCTACTCGAAAATTTATGAGCGTGACTAAATAATTGAGAAGATTATATTAGGAATGAAGTTTAAACTAAATGGAAACAAGCCTCTTGTGGGGTCCACCAACCTTGACCGTGATTGAAAAGGTTTTCCTTTCTTTTATATTATGGGTGCACCGTTGGAGGTGTTGGGGTGCCCTTGGGTACCCGTTAGGTGGCACTGGGATTAGAACTACTGAATTTAATTTATGTGAGTGTAATGATGAGTCTCAATGATATCATATAATAGGATGCATCATTCTTCTCACATAAATTGAAGTCAGTTGAGTAACTACTGAATTCGGGTTTGGAAGCCAAGTATTATATATGAATGTGGGCCATGATCTAGTCATTGAAATAAGGATGAATTCATATTGTTAGGTGCAGCGACTCATTTGAACTTCAACTCAATTTGTTATTGAGTTCTGTTTAAGTCATCGAGTCAACCTGCGTATTAATTTGTCCAATCCACACAAAATGTTGCTTGCACTATGCAAGAATTACGATGTTTGAGTCAGATTTTGGCAGCCTAAAAGGCCATCCAATCTTCTTCTAAATCTTGAATGTTGGTTAAAACATCAGTTATTGTTTGGTAAGAGCTCTTGTTTATGAACATCCTATTGGTGTGAATGGATCCAAAACTAGGACAAGGTCAATTACCTACTACAATTAAAACATATGTGAATACAAATGTGAATCTACATGAGTAGGAGTCACAAGGTCAATCACCTACTACAATTAAAACATTATTATTGTTCTGGGAAGTTAGAGACTAATCAGTATTGATCATCGAGATTTGAGAGTTCGAGTCTCATTAGTGTTATGTTGTGGGTAATGGGTGTGCGTTTGCTTCAACCGTCTACAAACAAAAAAATAATAATAATAAATAAATAAATAAAAAAATTTGAAATCTCTGATAAGCCCAACAAAAAAATTGGAACAATTTGAATTTTTGATGCAGGTCAATTTGCAATTTGGATGCTTCCACAATTGTTTGCGTATGCCATGAACTTTCCGATACAGAAATTCTTGCAAGCGCAGAGGAAAGTGATGGTGATGGCTTGGGTGTCAGCTGTGGTGCTGGTGTTGCATGCATTATTTAGCTGGCTGGTGATATTGAAGCTTGATTGGGGCTTGGTTGGGGCAGCAATTACTTTGAACACCTCATGGTGGCTCATAGTTATTGGGCAGTTGTTATACATTTTTATCACCAAATCAGATGGTGCTTGGAGTGGCTTCTCATGGTTAGCATTTGCTGACTTGTGGGGCTTTGTCAAGCTTTCTCTGGCTTCTGCAGTTATGTTATGGTAATTAAGTCCCCCCTTTCTCTATAAAAATGTACATATATATTTATATACAGTCATACCGTATCGTATATGATACTAACACTGTTTTGTGGTTTGGGATTGCAGCTTGGAATTCTGGTACCTCATGATACTGGTGGTGATTACAGGTCGTTTGGCGAACCCTCTGATTCCGGTTGATGCCATCTCGATTTGGTATAACCATTTTCCCTCTTTTTTTCATGTTTCAGTCTTTATAAGGATTCAAATAATTGTTGGTGTGGTTGCAGATATGATCTTTTGAAAGATAACCTTAGAAAATATTCAAAGGCATTTAAAGATTAGGCAAATAAAAATGTAGTCTTCTAAGAGGCATTATGTGATATGAGAATATGTAAATTGTGTTACACAGCAGTTTAAAATCTTTTGAAAAAAATGGGGGAAAAGTTTATTTCAATGCCTTTAAAATTCAAATCCTGTAAAATAATTGACTTCAATTTTCATGTGCAAAGGAACACATGAACAATACTAAGCAATGATGTGAAAAAAAAAAAAAAAAAAAAAAAAAAAAAATGGGGAATTGTTTCATTGTGTGAATTGTCTTAGGCTCTTAGCATCCTCTTGAGAATATATTGTCATAATGATATCTTAGCTTAGCCTCATTGCAACACTTTTGCAGCATGAACATTAATGGATGGGACGCGATGATCGCGCTAGGATTTAATGCTGCCATAAGGTGAAGTTTCTGCATTCTTCAATCTTCTGTTCTATTCTTTTCTGTGTGTTTCCTTTGGAAGCTGAGAAGGGAAAGGAAAAAAGAGCTCAACTCCTTCATTTCTCTCGTCTTCTGGGCAATCAAATGGATAATGTACGTATATATATGAACTCACCATGAATGTTCTTTACAGTGTGAGGGTGTCGAATGAACTTGGAGCTGGTCACGCTCGCACAGCAAAATTTTCAGTGCTGGTGGTTTCCATCACGTCCGTGTCCATAGGAGTTGTTTGTATGGCCATTGTGTTGGCAACAAGAGATTACTTCCCATACCTTTTCACCACCAGCGTGGACGTTGCTACTGAAACTACGAAACTTGCATTGTTGCTGGGAATTACGGTTCTTTTAAACAGCCTTCAACCGGTCTTATCTGGTAAGCACAAATCAAATCCGAATATGAATCTATTCGTAACTTTCCCTAGAAAATGATTTAACATGGAGGTGCAGTGTGCGCCTAGAAAATGGCATAGTCATCAGTACTTGAAGATATAACTTTCTTTGTGTTTTTTTGTCCCGCCCTTTTATTGGTTTTTGTTTCTTAAGGGGTTGCTGTTGGAGCTGGATGGCAGTCTCTTGTTGCATACATCAACATTGGGTGTTATTATATCATTGGATTGCCTGCCGGAATAATCTTGGGATTCACATTTGATTTTGGCGCCATGGTGAGTTACTAATTTACTAATGCTCTCTCTCTCTTCAAGATCTTGATGTGCCATAAAAAAAATTTCGAAACAGAATCACCAAAGATAGCTCTTGACATGGTCTAATCCGGTTACAAATTTAAAAAGATTGATTTCCATGCCTCGGATTTTTTTTCTTTTTCTTCATGGTACATATTTATTCATGTGATCTGCAGGGAATTTGGAGTGGGATGATTGGAGGAATTTGTTTGCAGACCATTATCCTAGTTGTGGTCACGAAATTCACAAACTGGAGAAAAGAAGTCAGTAATTTCTTCTCTTCGTAACCATTTCCTAGCCTTAAATCATGTCGTGCTCAATTGAAATCTCTAACAATTTTCGTGACTTGATTTTTGCAGGCTAATGAAGCTGAAAGCCGTGTTAAGAGATGGGGAGGAGGTGTCTCACACCCTGACTAAAGTTGGAGATTCGAAGGAAAGGGTGTATTTGGCAGAGACCATGAGAAAACGTCGGAAAGGGATGAATTGAACTCTCAGAACCCTGATTTTCTCCGAAATGTCTAACCAGGCCTCGTAATGGAGATGTAGCAAGTGATCCGGTTTCGGTTCTGTAAACTTGCTGGTGTCTCCTGTTGAGCTTATTAGGCTGTTGTTGGAAAAAAATAAACTCCAATGGGATGTAATATTGAGATTCTTGTACTACTTAGGAGGGGTTTGTCATTCAATTTTGTTGTGGTTTGGAATTGTTTTGATAATATTCAATGTCATCTCTATTCAACAGTTTTGCAAATGCTTGATTTGGTTTCTCAATCCTTGGCCACATAAATAATCCAAACACATCATTCATTATCAGTACAATGATGTAACTTTATTATGCCCACAAGGAAAATTAAGTTCCTAGAAAAGAAAGGGAAAAGGAACAAGCTATATGGTGCCCATAAATTCTAATCATCATGTAACAAAAATTCAATCATATGCGTGCAGCTTGTGTATATATATATATTATTTGGTAAATATTTATAATGGGCAACACTAAACTTAAGAAATTAAGTTGTGTATAATGGGCAACATTTATCTCCAGTATCGATTATATATATATATATATATATATATATATATAAGCAGCTGCACCCAAAGTGTAATGTCCCCTCAATTTATATATATAGAGATAGCATGTGTGTGTGTGTGTGTGTGAAGCTGCAAAAAGATAGGGTGTAGTCTGTCAGACAACTGTGTGACCATCGCAGCCAGATGAGACTAGCCGAGAACGATCCTCTACAGCTTTGTAGTCCATCATGGACCAGAAGAGGCCGTTAATCACGCTCTGGTCACGCAGTCATGGTTCATCCACCAGACTTAGGTTCCTGTCTCCTTAGAACTCAAGGATACAGAGGTACGAGCCTATAGAACAGATCCCGTTCAAGTAAGGTCGTGAAATGGGTTATTGAACTTGTGTTATAGATAGTGGTGCCTCTTTCATTTTTTAGTCGATGTGGGACGGTTTATTGCTTTCTCTCTCATCACAAGATGTGAAGTAGTTTTGACAATACTCGTTCCTAATGAAGTTGAACGACTGAATGGACCGAATATTCTATTTCATTACATGTCAGATTCACCATTGTTGTTGCAGCTGGACAGAAAATTGCTTGATTCGTGTAGCTATGCGACAGATAATTTACTTGTTTTGAGTGTTTTTTAGTGGTGGCATTAACTCTGATTTTATTTAAGTATTATATTTTGGGTTTTGGTATGAATCTATGCTTCTAAATACTTGTTCATAGAGTCTGGTTTTCGGATTTGGATGTGTTCAGATGTGGGTATGTGTGCTTGCTTTTTTATGTGTTTAGTTTATGTTTCTTGATTCTGATATGTTTTGGATGTGGGTATGTACTTACGCATTTAATGAAGTCTTTGCCCTTTCAACCATCTTTCTGCTATGTTGTTTGGGAGCACCCACTAGCATCGCAAGAAACTTATGCAATCCATTTATTTTTTTTTTGTTAAAGTGCAAAAAAAAAAAATATATATATATATATATATATATATATATATATGTCTTCAACTATGTTGGAATTTGCAAATAACATTTTTAAAGTAAATTTGGTGAATAATACCTACTGAATTATTACATTTTGTTGTAAAATACTTCAATGCCTAGACTATTTTTCATTAAATGACTATAATGTCCTTTCTTATTGAATTACATATAATCTATTTTTCTTACTGAAATAAATTATACAAAAAAATTCATACTAATTTGATTACAAATTTGTTATTAAATTTGCATAAATTTACTTTTAATTTTTAAAATTAATTATTTAAATAAAAATCTTAAAGGAAATTTTTTTAAAATGTAATTACTAACGGGTCAATGGTTTAGTGTTACCCCAGGCTGATCCTGATCCAAGACGGTCGCCTAGGGCCTAAAAATTTAGGAGGCCTCAAAATTTATAGGCCCATAGATGATGGGCCACCAGAAAAGAAAAATAAAATAAAATAAAATTTTAGGGCTAATCATTTCAGCCTCCCCAATCGCCTCCATCTCTATTCTCGTTTTCAACTCTCTCTCTCTCTCTCTCTCTCTCTCTGCAACTGCAAACTACAAAATCTACAAGAATCAGAAGTTCAAAACCCATATATTTCAGTTTATCTATGTGTCTGCAAGAATCAAAAGTTGAAAACCTATTACCTATATCAAAACCCATATGGGCATATGATTTTAGATTGTTCAAAAAATCAAAACCCATCGCCCGCTGTTCCAGTTCGTGTTCGCCGTTCGCAAGCTTCAGCCGTTGTCTCTCAACTCTCAAGTTTGCCCCCCTCTCTCTCTCCAACTGCTGACTTGTATGTATGGGTTTGGTTTTAATTTTTTTTTTTAATTTCTTATTTTATGAATTTTAGTTATAAATATTTATGAAGATAATGACTGAAACAGGATCTCCCTTTGCAGGATTTGAAAGACTAATTGGTAAATTTGGGTTGAACTTGAGTCTTGAACAAGCTGAAGGCCCTTGTCGTGGATTATAATTTTTACAATTACAGCATCCTACGGTCCTACCATCTTTTAGAGTGCTTTCATCACTTCATACTGCTAAGTCATTTCTTCAATTATTCAATATATATATATATATATATATATATATATATATATTTTTTTTTTTATTTCAGTTTTTTTCATGCTAATAATAAATTGGATGTTAACCGCATAAAGCATAAATCTGTCAATTAATACGGGCACCCAATTGTATATGAAACAAAGTACAATATAAAGTAACAAAATTTATTAATATATAAACAACAAAATTTTCATTTTTTGTAGACTTTTGTGCTTTGACCAACTTGGAGGAGCTTGATTTGAGTGTTAGTGTGAAGGGGCTGATTACAGTAAAAGGTAGTATATTGTCATATTCATTGCATTGCATTTTGAGGTAATCTACATTATATTTCAGCAAAAAAAAAAAAAAATTATTTTTTAAATTCTATAACTTCTGTTTCTGTTTTTTTTTTTTTTTTTTTTTTTTTTGTCATTTATGTCTACAAGAAAATTTGAATCTGGGCATGAAAAAAATAAAATAAAATAAAAAATTGATGCAATCTCAAAAAGAGGCTATTCATAAGCTTTTTAGGAACAATACACAAACAGAGAGTTTATTTGAAGATTTGGTGAATGAAGAACATAGGAATGAAGAAAATCTTAGTGAACATGGAGATTTAATGAATGAGGATAGGAATGAGAATTAAAATGAAGAAAATGCGAATAAACATGAAGATTTGGTAAATGAAGAATATATGAATGAGAATGATAATCTTCCTTTGAACATTAATGATCCAGGAAATTGGAAAAATATTGAAAAAAAAAAAAATGAGAGATTTATTAGTTGAAAGAGATCCTCCTAGAAATGCTAAACTTGAAAATTTTCGTAAGGATTCAAAAAATATACATTTATTTTTGTGCGTGTGAAACTTTATGTATAAAGGGCCTCACATTAAAGTTTGCCTAGGGCCTCTCGAGATTTTTTCAATCTTAGGGCTGGCCCTGATTAGAGGTAATGAGAGAGCAAATTTTCGCCCATTAGAGAACAACATAGATAGCACATATGTGTGTGTGAAGCTGCAAAAAGATTGTGTGTGTGTGTGTTTCTGAAAAGTTTCAAAAAGATGGGTGTAGTCTGATAAATTAGAGGTAATGAGTGGGCAAATTCTCACCAGCCCATTAGAGAACAACATAGATAGCATATGCGTGTGTGTGTGTGTGTGAAGCTGCAAAAAGATTATGAATCTATATATATATAAAATATATATGTGTGTCTGAAAAGTTGCAAAAACTTGGGTGTAGTATCACAGCCAGATGAGACTAGCCTAGAACGATCCTGTACAGCTTTGTGGTCCATCGAGACGGACCAGAAGAGCCTTTAATCACGCTCTGGTCACACAGTCATCGTTCATCCACCAGACTTAGGTTCCTGTCTCCTTAGAACTCAAGGATACAGAGGTACGAGCCCATAGAACAGATCCCGCTCAAGTAAGGTCGTGACTCTGAATGTCGAACTTTTGTTATAAATAGTGTTGTTTCATTTGCTTTTTAATTGATGTGGGACGGTTTATTGCTTTATCTCTCATCACAAGATGTGAAGTAGTTTTGACAATACTCGTTCCTAATGAAGTTGAACAACTGAATGGGCCAAATATTCTATTTGATTACATGTCAGATTCACCATTGTTGTTGCAGCTGGACAGAAAATTGCTAGATTTGTGTAGCTATGCGACAGATAATTTACTTGTTTTGAGTGGTTATGAATCTATGCTTCTAAATTCTTGTTCATAGAGTCTGTTTTTTGTATTTGGATGTGTTCGGATGTGGGTGTGTGCTTATGCGTTTAGTCAATTAGTTTACGTTTTGGATGTGGGTAGTGTATTTATGCATTTAATTAAGTAGTAACCCTTTCAACCAGGGGCAGAGCCAGAAATTTTAGGTTGGGGACGGGATTTGTTATATGTAACTACAGTTTGAAAATTTTATAAATCAATTGTAATATGATTTTTTTTTTTATAATAAATATTAGTCATAGTGTATGTACTTTGAGAAAATTAAAAAATGAGAAAACTACAGCTTAATAATAGATGAAAAATTGATAAATTTAAATGGTGGTTACAAGGGGATGATGGAGTTTAAGGACCTTCTTGTTATTTTTTTTTAAAAGAAAAAGGCAAGTGGAATGCAAAAAAGGAAATACAAATATCACCTCCCTTATATATATATATATATATATATATATATTTTAATCATCTACCACTAAATTTATTTAGTTGCATAGTTATATGATCCACAATCCTATATGTTAACAACTCTCTCTACCCCCACTTAAACCTCATAACCAAGACATGTCAATAGACTCAATTTTATCCAATTGGATCCGAATTTGAAATAATTAATATGTGGATTGAAACATTCAATCTTATAATTCATTAGCAAAATGAATTCGATAATCTATTAACTAAACAAATCAAATATAGATTTGTTTGATGAGTTGATTTTCTTATCATTTTAAAACTGGAAGGAAAGGGGAGAAAAAGCTCTCATTTTTTAATGAAACATATTATTGAATATATTTGTTTCAGGTATTTGGATTAATGAAAGTACTTTCATCTGCTTTTTTATTTTTTCCAAACATAATTACTACCCTTTTTATTTTTGTTTATTAACCAACTAAACACAAATTCAACACTATCATTTTATTTCCTTTCTTTTTCAATCATAATTAATATTATTCTTTCCTTTTCTTTTTTATATGTCAAACATGGCCCTAAGATTTAGGGCATAAAACAATTTCATTTTATGGGCAGCTATGGCAACAAAATTCAAAAAGACCTACCGTGGCTTTTTCACTATGTCTATTTGTCAGTCTTTCACTATGTCTATTTGTCAGTCTTTCAGTCTTTTTCTCTCTCTCAGACTCTAACTCAAACACAATCCCTATATAACCCACACCCCAAAAAAAAAAAAATGTGGCCGCCTAAAAGGTTAAATTAAACCAGACGTTGAACTCTCACTTGCACAATCTTTCAGGTACATCTCTCACACACCATCACTATTTATCCTTGTTTGTTTCAGTCTCTCTGTGTCGGTTCAAATTCAGTTTTTTTAATTTTATGTTCTTATGGTTTTTCTGAATCTTTATCAAATTGATAATTTCTATTTGATTAATTAGTGAAATTTTTCACTGTTGGTGTGATATATATTAAAGTTGTTCGAGGTTTAATTTTCGAATTATTATTATTATTATTATTAAATGAACATTTCAAATAATGAATGAATTAGGGTTTAAGATTTTGCTAAAGGTTTTGTTTGCTTGGTGAGAAAATGAAGTAAATGAAAAACATAGTTTTTGCACCGTGGAATTTTATTATTTATGGATTCATTTTCGTGTGATTGGTAAAGAAAAATGACTTTTTCTGGCTAACGATATATACAATATATCATCGTTTGGCAGCGAGGTTCTTGTTAGTTTTATATACATATACTCGCATATATGTGTATCTACGTTTTTTTTTTTATAAGTACATATATGTGTATATACGTAATACTATGTATATAGAGTGTGCGTATGGACATACATATACATATACGTATTTGTGCCTGCGTGCTACCTGTTTGCTATAATGTCCAAACCGAAGTGTGTATTGTAAGTAATATATGTAACTACCTCTTTAGTGGGAGATCTCTGTGCTCTGGCATTGATAGGATTTTCTCTATGTGAGAATATAACCTGTATTTATGATTTAAAAATAAATTACAGTCAATACATATATGTGTATGTGTATATACATGTACGCTATGTTTAGCTTTAGATTCTAGAGCCACGGGTGATCAAGCGCATCTTTCTTCATATTATTATTATTATTATTATTATTAAATGAACATTTCAAATAATGAATGAATTAGGGTTTAAGAGTTTGCTAAAGGTTTCGTTTGGTTGGTGAGAAAATGAAGTAAATGAAAAACATAGTTTTTGCACCGTGGAATTTTATTATTTATGGTTTCATTTTCATGTGATTGATAAAGAAAATGACTTTTTCTGGCTAACAATATATACAATAAATCGTCGTTTGGCAGCGAGGTTCTTGTTAGTTTTATATATATATACTCGCATATATGTTTATATATGTAATACTATGTATATAGAGTGTGCGTATGGACATACATACACATATACGTATTTGTGCATGCGTGCTACCTGTTTGTTATGATGTCTGAACCGAAGTGTGTATTGTAGTAATATATGTAAGTACCTCTTTAGTGGGAGACTCTTATCTCTGTGCTCTGGCATTGATAGGATTTTGTCTATGTGAGAATATAACCTGTATTTATGATTTAAAAATAAATTACAGTCAATACATATATGTGTATGTGTATATACATGTACGCTATGGCTACACATGTACTTGTAATATTTCAAGTGTGTATCTGTGAATGATATCCTTGTTTTTGAGATGAATAAGACTATGACTGATGCAAGTATTTCTTGCTGTATGGAAAAAGCTAGGTTTGGGGAACCATGTTGAGGCATGTGTATAACAAGTTATGTTCACATGGAGGTTATAAAATGAGGCCTTGCTTGAATGTACAGACAAGTTATCTCCACAGTGGACAGGTACATTCTTGATCATTTTTTATTTTTTAGTTTTTTAACCTGATGTAAACTCAACTGTCCCTCCCTGCTTGACCATTGAAGACCATTGGGCAAGTTTCATTTTTATATATAATCTGTTTTAGTTCTCTTGAAATAAGTGTTTTATTTAGAAAAAATAATAATAATGGTATTCTATTCGACTCTCACACGCCGTGCCCCTTGACTAATGTGACAATGGCAAATTTGGATTCATGAAATACTTGTGGGCATATATATTGTAAAGACTCTGTGTTGAATCCCAATTGGCATTAGTTATTGGAATGGAGAGTCAACTTGTGTTGTATTTAGATACGCATAATTAGCTCTTTTACTTGGCATCAATATCCCAGTCAAAACCAAAATGAAATTAAAAAAAATGAAAAAATTATTGTCAATTTTTCGAAAAAGTTAATGAGATTAGTCATAGGTTTGCAATGGCTCAAATTGTAACAGAATCTCAGATTTTTCAATGTTTATTTAAGATACAAGACCTTGTTAAGAAAACAAAATTCCCTTTGTTGTGCTGCTTAGTTTTTGCTATATGGTTATTACAGCTTTGTTTAGCACCAAGAAGCTTTTTTGGGGTGGAGGATTTCCTTGACGATGACAATAGCCGGCCATACACTTACCAGAAGGAGAAGAAAGCAAAAAATCCAGACAAGAAGCATGCGTCATTCAAACAACGTACGATAGCTTACATGGAACCGTTTACACTGGACGTTTTCATCTCAAAGCGGTTTGTTTCAGCCTCACTCACCCACAGGGTAACTAGTAAGCAGGTTGCAGTTGCTGGTACAAACTCTAAAGACATCAAAGCTGCGCTCAAGTCCCGATCTGATATACCTGCATGCTTAGCCGTTGGCCGGATTTTATCTGACAGAGCAAGAGAAGCTGACGTGTACACCGCTTCTTATACTCCGAGGGAGAGAGACAAGTTTGAGGGCAAGATTAGAGCGGTTGTACAGTCCCTCATTGACAATGGGATTGACGTTAAAGTTTATCTTGACTGAACCAGTAAGTTATCTTAGGACCATGGGAAAATGGAGGTTGTATTTCAATAAATGTGTTTTTTTTTTTTTTTTTTACAAAATAAAGTAATAATAAATATATAACAAAAAATTAATAAATTAATAGAAAATGGTTGGCCCAGCCACCACTAAATCCTGCAACGCTAGCCCAATTGCTGACATGACAAGCAATTCTTATGTGAATAGATAGCTAGTGGGTATGGTCATTGCTATACCGACTGCTCTTACTATGCTATAGCCTTTGTTGATGTAGTTTTATTACTTAAATGCTGAAAATTGTATTATTTTCATGATCAAAGTTTAATCATCACCAATCATTTTCTTTTCATTCATTTATAATTTTCAAGATCAAAATATATGAATCTTAATGTCATCATATAAATTTACAAAAGAAAAAAGTAATCCTGGATATTGACTTATTTATAAATTACATTAATTCTTAGGTTTTTGTTTTTTTTTGGCGGGGGTTCCCTTTTCTCTCTTTTTATATTTTTTTTAAAAAAATTTGTATGATTTTATTTTTTTAATTTTTATTTCTGAAAAAAATATGTATGATTACTTGTGAGAAATATCTATTGTCTTTATATTTATGTTTATTTAAATTTGTTAAAAAAAAATGTTCCATGAAAAAAAAAATTTAGAAAAAAGGTTGAGTGGTAGAAAAAATAGACCAACAATAAAATAAATATGTTTTTTAAATTTTTTTATAAATGAATTAAATATATAACTAAAAAATTAATAAAATGATTATAAAAAAAAAAAATGGCTTGCCCAGCCAGCACGGTATCATAGTGTAGCCTCACACAAGCCCAATTGCTGACGTGATTGACAACTTTTAGCTAGTCGGTATGGTCATTGCTATTGTGGGCCTACCGGCTGCCCTTACTTGGACTATGGCCTTTATTGATGTATTAGTATTACTTAAATGGCAAAAATTATATTATTTTCAAGATTAAAGATTAAGTATCACTAATCATTCCATTCATTTATAATTTTCAAGATTGAAATATATTAATCTTAATGTCATTATATAAATTTACAAAAGAAAAAAGTAATCCTGAGTATTGACTTACTTTCAATCATAATACCAGAATATTTTTGGTGTGATAACAAAATTTCAAATAATTATGTGGTAAATATTTGGGCAAATTTATTACTTTGAAAATTCAAGGTATGTTATGAAAAAAAAAAAAAAAAAAAAAAAGGTTTTATCTTGAATGAAAACAAAGCAAAATGAAAACTGTTTTTTTTTTAGATTATTTCAATTGTTTAATTTCTCACAAAAATTTATTGAAAAAATATAGAAAAATGTATTTTCTAGCAAATTTTCATATATTTTAAATCAAAAATAGTATTATTCTACAAGAAGTTTACTGTAGTAAATTTTCATTATAACCAAATATTTGTAAATCAATAAGGGTTAATTTTACTGACACCCCTTGAGTTTGGCCAAATATCATTGAAATACTTTTGGAAAATAACTATCACTTAGGTCTAATTTTATTTTTTCATTACACCATTAAAAATTTGTGAAAAGACAAATGTACCCTTAATTCTTTAACATGTTTTATTTTAAAATATCAACAATTTAAAGAGATAAAATTGCCCTGATTAGTTACTTTCACCCACCCACTCCTCTCTCTCTCATACTTCACTGAACCAACACTCCAATTCAACCATTTTTTCATTGATTAATTAAAGAAAAATAATAATAAAGATAGACAAAATAGAGAGATGAAAAAAGACTTAAGAAATATATATATAATATGCAAGTATTACATATTACTAATACTAGATAATATATATACATAAAAGATCATCTAATATTAATCAATTATAATTCCTATCTGGCTTTCTTAACTACCAAATTTAAATTATTAATGAATTATTCAATTAAGTGTTTTAATTTATATTTAAATTGTCAAATTGTATTCGAATCAAAATCGAATGGATTAACAAGAATACCCACAGCAATGAGTTTTACATATATATATATATATATATAGTAAGCTTCATACTGTGGGTGAAGGTTTAAACGTGGCCAACAAAGAGACTCTCATTATTAAAGAGTAGCTCTTAGTACACCTTTGGGGAAAAAAACAAACAAACAAGTGCAAAAGAAAAATTGAATTGAGTTCCATTGATATATTTTCTCTCTGCTCATAAGAGACACAACTGAGCTAGTAAAGGGTATTGTAAATACATATATATAAAGGATTATTGTAAATTTACAAAGTAAAGGGTGCTGCACCCAGATTTTCGAAAATTATTTGATGTAGGGCCTCGTGCAGAAATTTATTGAGTCATCACCTAGCATTGGATTTAGGTGTGTTAGGTCACTTGAAAGTATATACATATCTAGTAAAAATACAACTTTCGAAATATTTATTAAAGATATATTAAAAATGCCCTTTTTGATAATGACTCCATATAAGTTTACGGAACTGAGATTCATGAGATCGGTAGTACGTTTATGCCAAGGGAAGGTGTTAGGCACCCCTGAAACATCCAAAAAATATTGTAGTTACCACATTCTAAAGTAATATTTTCATATTTTTATTCCTTAGAAATTCATAAAGAGTTGCAACTATAGTAAAGAAGAAAGAAAATAGTTTTGGTTTTTGAAAATATATGTAATACACTTGGGCATTTATCGATATCTATAGTGTGGATTTGGGGTTAAGTAATTTAATACTTAATTCAATGCCCAATGGTAATTTTGGATTTATAAAATCAAGAAAAGTGAGTTACTGACCTTTTCAGAATTTTAATGATGCATGAGTTTTTATAAAAAGTACGCGATTTTGGAAGAATACGGTTAAATGAAGACATGCGGTAAGTTTACAAAAAAGACAATTGATTTGTAGTTCCCCACTTACTACATCCCTTCATTTAATTGGATAAACTATTTTATAAAAATATGCAAGTTTAAAAGTAATGGACGACACATGAATGTTGCATAACATAAGTAAATGTGACATAGAAAGTAAGATAAAAGTCAACGAGGGGGATTCCAAAGGTCCACTTTATCCAATGTTGAAGGTAACCTTACACATTTTTACTTGTAAAGTATCCCTCTAAGTTGGTCACTTCGATTTGGCCACCTCTGATATTCACCGTATTGAAGGCCAAACAAGAGTTTAAAAGAGATGGATCGTTAGGATCGTAAAAGGAGGTGGGTACCAATGGATTAGTGCTTTTCCCGATTTAAAAGTTAACCTCGGTATGAACTCTTCTAATGTTCATTGTATTGAAGGCCAAACTTTAAGAGCTAAATCGTTCGGATTGGCTAAAAGAGCTAAGAAGCTAAGAGGGGTCACCTTGTTTCTCTCTCTAGAGTGGAGATTGGTATCTCTTCAAATGAGAAGAGTGAGGGGGTATTTATAGGTGAAGTGAGTGAGAATTGATTGGTGGGCATTAAATTAGGTGGGTAAGAGTTGAGGGGTGATATGGTAATTTCATTGGGTTAATGGATATTGTATTGTGGATAACAAGGTGCTGGTATGTTAAAAGTTATCGTCTTGTGGGTAATAGGTTGGTGTTGTGTAGCGCCCCAAATTCAATGATCCAATGCATTAACCAAGAAGACCCAAACACGACCCAATATCGAGTCCGAATGTGGAAGCGAATGACAAGGAAAATGTCGCTAAATAAGAATACCATCTCTAGGACAACATAAGAACCTCAAGTGAAGTCAACAAAACTTGAGCACGTACACAACGACGGAAGCTAATGACAAATGAAACCAAAACGGTTACAAATGCTCATCAACCTACATGGCTAATGTGATCCTAAAGATAAATCAAGTGAAGTACTAAGACCAAACGAATCATATAATAACATTATATGAGGTCCCAGACATCAAAGGAATGGATTCGCCATAAAACGCACTAGGAGACACAATCTAAGATCGATCTCAATAAAACAGAATGAAAAATAACCCTGCAGAATGTGCCCATGGCCATCCCATATCATTCATACTCATGCATAAGAGCAAGTGGTGTGGGCATACAATGTTATCTATCTACTTTTTAAAAAGTATAGTGCCGCATAAGCTAAAAAGTGATTATGTGGTACTCTATTTTTTTTTTTTATCCATATGTTCCATGGTGTGGAACCCAATTATCTCATTCTCTATTTATTATTTTATTATTATTTTAATTTAAAAATAAAATAAAAAATTTGAATTTGAATTTAATAATTTTATGTCTTTTTCCTAACGGCTATGTCATCAAATTCAGATGGGGAAGATATATAAATAAAAATTACATTAGCTTCTCACAGATAGAAAAAGAAAATTACATTACATTAACTTCCCACAGATATTTACATTACATTAACTTCCCATAGGTAGAAAAAGAAAATTATATTACATAACTTCACAAACTACACCTTTTGTTGGAAACGGCATTAGAAAACGCAAACTTTGGAAGGATTATTAAAAAGATTCCGCTAAGAATTTTTTGCGAATCTATTGATGAGCGCGTTCCTCTCTGCGAGGAGATGAACGTGGTATATTTATTTTCTCAAATCCGTTTCCGGGTGAATGAGAAATTGGCTCCAAAGTAAGTGATTTATAAAGCCTAAATGGGTGTGAATAAAGTGGGAAATGCTTGTCCCACATCGAAAAAGTAGCAAAGCAACCTTGAGTATATATATGTCTAGTATGGGATTTGGGTTTGGGCCCAAGGGCACCCAAGTTTTTAAGAGGGGGAGGACCTAGGCTAGCCTGGATCCGAACCAACTACCACACGCGCGCGCCGCCCGCCCGGTCCGGTCCGGGCTAGGGCGGGGCGGGGCTTGATTGTGAAATGGGTTTAACTTTTTATCCAAAGTTAGGATGGGCCTGTGTGGCAATTTTATTTTGTTGCTGGACTTATCAAAATGGGCCTGTTTACTGGGCTGAATTAATAGCCGAGTTGGGTTATTTGCTTGCTGGACTGGACGAAATTAAAGGGCTGGGCTGGATCAGAATTAAAAGGATTCAGTTTTAAATTTTGAACCAAGGGTTGCACCCTTTACAAATTAAAAACCACCAACAGATTTTTAATTCT